AGCGTGTTAAAAACAAGCAAACATCAACATCTTATTTTTCTCCTGAAATCCAGTACGAGTTTATAAATCTCATGGCTTCACATCGTGAGTAATTGGCCCAAGTGATTCGGTTTGTTGACATTGACTTTAAGACAAGAAAAGTAGAAGTCAAAGAGTCATTTATTAACTTTATACAGATAAAGGTAAAAGTCGCTGCCAATATTGAGAAAACAATAAGCATAAAATTAGAAGCGGATGGAATTTTACTGAGTGATTGTTGTTCACAATGTTATGATAATGCTGCTGTCATGTCAGGTTATCTGTCAGGCATTCAACAAAGAATTTTGAACAAAAATCCAAAGCAGTGTCTAAGTGTGACAACCATAATTTGAATTTAGCATGTCTTCATGCTGCAAGTCAGGAAACAACAGTTATTACCTTTCTTGGTATAATTGAAGCCATTTATAATTTCTTTGCTCATTCAACAACCCGATGGGACGAATTGCAGCAGGAGCTTAAGATCTCTGTCAAGCATGAATCAGAAACACGGTGGAGTGCAAGAGAAAAGGCAGTAAAAGTTGTACATGAAAAACTGGATGAATTGCTGGGACTGTTAGAGCAATTAAGTGAGAATGGCAACACGGCTGGAACAAAATGTGGTGCTCATAATATTCTGCAACGCATGCTTACATTTGATTTTCTTGTACTTTTTCATTTTTTGAGAAAATCAATACACAAAAAATCAATACACTTAAAAACCTCATAAACACAGCCACGAGACTCTGTTCAATGGACTACATAAATGAAGAAATTAACCACGTAAAGCATTCCTTCATTCACACCAATAAATTTTCCCCATAGTCTATGGCTAATATATCCTCCTTGTGTAAAAGACAGTAAATCATCGTTTAATGTATCTAATTCACTTTTAAATTTACTAATGTTTTCCATTTGTATTTCTTGCCACTGTTGTTGACTTTCCTGTAGTTACTGCTGACTTTCCCGCAACTGTTGGAGACTTTCTTCCTGTTTCCTTTATTGTTCCAGTTGCCGCTGCTGTAGTCTCTTCCTGTTTATTTTCTCGTTCTTCTTGTTTCCTTTCTTTTTCCTCCAACAACTGCTGTAATCTATCTTATTGTTTCTTTTCTCGTTCTTCTTGTTTCTTTTGTTGTTCTTCTATTGCTGCCATCAAATCTGCTAAGCTGTAGTTTGATTTGCCACCTCTCGTTTCCATCTTCTTTTCTTTTCCGTCCCACTCTCTGACACCAATTTGTTACGTATCTGCTTGTTTGTTAATTTCCCGTAAACATTCCCTCCGAGAAACTTCAGCGATACAAGTCCTTTTTAAATTAAAACTAGTT